GAGCCATCGCTCTTGGGTTGGAGGCCATCACTCTTTGGTAGGAGGCCTTCGCTCTCTCCAGCACCACACCACCGCTCTTAGGTTGGAGGCCATGGCTCTTGGGTTGGAGGCCATAACTCTTAGGTAGGAGGCCATCGTTCTAAGCCCCCACAACTATTCCATCTTAATGTCCCAAACACATTAAAGATATGTTCTAAGCGTAGGTGTCGGACTATGTTCTTAGTGTAGGTGCGAGGGCCTGGAATGTTCTAACTGTAGGGTTAGAACATCTGCCGGCACATACTCTTAGAACGTCGCGACCTATACACTTAGAACATTTCACCTGTGGAAAAAAATATATATTTTTTTTCCAAAAGATGTTCTAAGTGTATGTCTTACGGTATAGAGACAACAACATCTTCTCAGGGGGGGGGTTCAAAAAAACAACAACAGGGCTGCAGTTTTTGTCTCTAGGATGTGGTAGAGGTTCTAAGTAGAAGTTTTACAGAGGCTTAGCTGACCGGACTACCACCACCACCACCACGACTACTACTACTACTACTACTAGCTACTACCACTACCACTACCACTACCACTACTACTACTGCTGCTACTGCTAATACTGCTACTACTACTACTACGACGACCACTACAACAACGATTACTATTAGTACTAGTACCACTAGTACTAGCACTAGTACAAACACTACCACTACTGGTGAAAGTACTTGTCGGCGGGTTGTTTTCGCGGGAGCTCAAAAACAACGAAGGGGCTGCAGTTTTTGTTGCCAAACCCTTGTAGAGACAAAGGAGGAAGATATGTTGTAACGGGGCTGCAGTTTTTGTTTGTACCTTCTTGTTGTTGTTGTTGTTGTAACATGACACAAACATGATAGATGCATTCTACTGCGTTTATGTTGTTGCCAGAAGATTGTCAGATCATCATCGTTTTAATGGTAATTATGTTTGTCCTGTATTTTTGGGCATAACAACGTTCATTGGAATGTGGAACTTAATGGGATTTGTAAGTAGGTCTGTTGGGAAATCGCACAATAGTAGTCACGGTTTTCTATGCAGTTCTGTTGCTCAATGAATCTTGGAGGGTTCCGATGGTACTCTTTGCTGGCCAAAGGCCGCGAAGTCTTGGGGCATTGGTTGCCACCAAATATCACACCAGAATGAAGAGGTCACATGGCTGATCACAGATGTGCCAGATATGCCAAAGAAGTTCAGCGGAGTTGCAGGCACGCAACAGATAGATAGAGACGGCAGTAGATTTACCGTGGTGTGCGAGTGCATGTATAGAAGGCAGGGAAAAATCATGAAAACATACATACTGAGTGCACTTGCACAGCGGTGGATAAGAAAGTTTTGAGAAGCTTACAGGTTTGTTGGATTTGGGAACATGTGTGGAATATGGAATGCTCCTCGGGGAGCCGTGACTCGTAGTTTGATTCTCGGTTAATTGTGCCCGCCCTGCTATCCTGAAGGAGGTGCCAGCGAAAGCCCACTGGCTGCAAGATGCGCCACGTGCCGTTGAGGCGCGGTGGGTGGCCAGGTCGGTTTGCTGGTAATCCAATGGATATGTTCTGGGTACGGTTCACCCACTGGAAACCATGTAGCTAACGTTTCACCAACATGACCCGGTTTGTTTCCAGCAGAATCGCCAGATCCAATGCCGTCCCACGTGCGCGCAGCATAGCGCTCATGATCCAGATCCAAAAACCCGGTCGATTGCCCTCCAGTCCCCGACGCGCCACGTGTCGTATCGAATCTGAGATGTCACAGATGGTTTGTGAATCCTTTATGTAGACTCGTGATTAACATATGAATCAAAGATGGGTGAACCAGGGGGTAACAAGAGCTTTATTAATCAAAGATCCATATGAAGAGCTCTTACAATCCAAATGGGGGTAACCAGGCCGACAGAGAACTTACCTGGATGCGGTGACACGGAAGTTGTCAACTCCTCCTTGCAGAACCGTTTAAGCACATTACAGGTCGTGGACAGTGACAGGTGATGTATGTCCTTTTCCGCAGGAGCCGCATCAGTTCGTCTTCTGGTCCTGTACTTGGGGGGTTAATATCGCCAGGTTGGTTTGACAATACCTTACCGTGCTTGTTTGGCCCCGACGTGCTGACAGTGGTGTATCATGGGTTGAACTTGCTATCTCATTCATGTTGTGGTCAGGAGTGACCCTCGCGGTTAAAATTCGGACTGAGCAAGGGTGGAAAGCCTTAAGTTGTTGCCTCCACACCATAGTTCACTGCGGACTGTCGCAGCGAGCTTTCGGTGGATTGTGAAACATATACAGACCTTTTCAGCCAGCAAGTTTATCCTTTCATATCGTAAGCAGGGTTCGAAGAGCCTTATTTTGTTAGGATGTTAGGTTTCTCTAGTGATCATGAAGGGGGTGTGGCGTGTCGACCTCAACTGCCCAATGGGCCTGCCACGTACAAATATGAGAAACAAGAACAAAAATCAATGCCGCGTTCGATATGCTCTCAGAACAAAGAAAAAATTGACACATTTGCACATCCTGACCATAATTGATAATTTTCTCAACAAATTAACTTTGAATTTAATCTCGAAAAGGCCACATCCGAAATCATATCTTTTGTTCGTTGCTGCCTTATGCTGTTCGTTCGTATAGCTACTCGGCATGATTTCTCACCTTTTCATGAGAGTTTCACACACCCACCCAAACCCACTGAATACCGTCAAGGGTTGGCGTGGGCGCGCTCAGACTCGCAAGTCCGTGCATCCAAATGAGCACCGCAGAAACCTCCCAAGATGAACTAAGTAAAGGCCTTGTCATATGGAACTTGGGCGTAAGCAAAAACCTGAAGAGCGTAAGGTTGCGTAAGGGAGTTGTGAGACACGCATGTTGCGTAAGCTTGCCATATGGTTGTGTTTTCATTATATAGTAGATTCTTAGCACACACTTGTCAAGAAAGGAACTGTATGGACCATGAGAGCTTTGAAACCCTTGGGAACTGACATTTGTGTGCACTGCGTTTCAGGTGTGTGCACTGTGCTTGTTTGTGTTTGCAACTCTGTATCAAACCTTTCTCAAGTCAGCCCCATCATAACATGTCATAACATGCCAGGCTCCGTTTGGTGAGGGTTTGGTGGCGTAAGGTTCGCGTAAGCTCCGCGTAAGGTTCGCGTAAGCCAACTTTTCATATGCCTACAGCAGCCAGTAAGTAGATGCTAGTGATCCTTTGCTTCCTCTGCTGATTCGGACTCTTAGTGATCATGTGTTTGTCGCCCGCTCACCTGCAACAGGAGCCTTCGCGTAAGATCGCGTAAGTATTTCCCTTGGGAGTATGGTTCTCATCTGTGAAAATGCAGATGCGTAAGATCTGCGTAAGGTCTTCTTCAACATCCGTGGCGCGTAAGCTCACATTGTGGTCGCGTAAGAAAGGCGTAAGCAGGAGCGTAAGAACGTTATGCGACATAGGGGTTTAATCATACGTATTTTGCAGAGCTCAAATGGGCGTCTTTTATTGAGTGGCAGACTACAGGTCTGCCCTTTTGTGCAAAGTTCATGGACCACAGTGTCACAGGCAAACCTTTTTGTGGATCTCCAACGGTGATGTAATACACCTAGTTACTGCATTGCGCCGCCCTGGGAGACGTGAGAACGATAGCTGTTGAGTGCCGGACAACCGCTTAGCATCGGTGACTCTCGGAGAAGCACCGGTGATCCGTGACCTGCTCAAGCTTCGTTGGGGGATCAAAGGGATGGATGGAGAAGGGGCTGGGGTGCCAGGCTCCCACACTCTTGCGGCTGGAGAATGGACCTGCGCCTGCAAAGGCAGGGGGGTTTGCTTGGGCCAGACAAAATGGAGTAGTTCCTTCAGTGTTGCCTTTGCAGTTTAGCTATTGTTGGATGAAAACATGGTGGCTAGTTGCTACGTAGCAGTTCCGGGAGGTTTTGTGGTTTTAGTTCGTCACAGTTGACTAAGTTCCCTAAAGATCCCTAAAGATCCCTGAAGATCTGGTTAGTGCATGGTGATGCCACTCTCTCTCTCTCTCATGGTTTGTCAGTTGCCCCTGGTACTTGTAGGAGATGTTTCATCGACCATGTAGTCCTTTCATGGCCCAGGGTAGACAGTAACGCACACCTTGCTTTCTTAGACTTATGTGTTATTTCATGTCCAAGATTTCTATCACTAGACATGGCTGAGTATACTGGTGCCACCATGGGTGCTGTTCCCACCTTAGCTCGACTCCGCGCTCCACTGTGTTTTCAGGATAAAATGTGACCTAAGACACACGTAGAACCTACGTAGAACCTCTTGGCAACTGTTGTTGAAAAGAAAAGACACTTTGGGAGTTTGAGCTGCCCCCTTTTATTTCCCAGGCTTGACCGGTCACCACAACCCTCAATTGCCGGTGCGGCCTAAACTGGGCTTAGCCACAAGACCTGGGCGAACTTGGCCCAGTTGGACCATGTCCAGCAGTCTGGACTGTGCCCAGCATGCGGTCCGCCTTCCAAAAGAACGATTAACATGATGTACCATGTCAATACCTGCTTGCCATTCAATCGCTACCTATGGCCCCCCAAGCAATGAAACACCAGGCTGAGATCAGGTTTCTAGTTTCTTGATAGTTAACCGGAGGACCCCAAATGGTTAACCACCTTCCAGATGCTGTGGTTGCGGCCAGGACTACAGTGACGACAGGGATCACAGCTGCACACCCACCCGCGCCAGTGAAGCGCGGAGCGGCCGCAGCGAGGAAGGCAGCTGGAGCTGTTGTAGTGGATCGCGGATTCTTGGCAAAAATTGGCATTGAAGCTGCCAAGAGATGTATGTGATTGGTAAGTCGCCAGTCTACCCACTTGCCGCTGGAAAGCGGTTGCAACGCCTTGAAAAGTAGACTAAGTAGACCATGGTTCCTTCCTTATGGTCGTAGCTGCGAGCCACCAAGGATGTTGTTCTTGTTTGTTCAACCAAACTCGGCTCGACCATCATGGTGTTTGTCGTTCGTGATCTCGGCTCGATCGGGGAATGACCCGAGCTATGGATCCCTCGAGCTTTCGATGTACTGTAGGATCTCGAGTGAATAACAATGAAACGACTGTGACCGTGACGTGTTTTTGTTAGGAAGCTCATCAACTAGTGACAACACACACATCCCATATCATCCCATAAAACTGAACTAACTTACTCCTTTACACCTTGTTGGTCATTCTTTTCCTCGATCCAAGAAAAACGGATGATGATTCCAATGAAAGTGGCGAAGCATTTGGACACCATGTCAGCATCCCATCCGACTCATCTCACGCTCGAGGACCTCGGATCCCAGCGACCTGAAGTTCGAGGTGCGTCGTTCGTCGTACCGGTCGCTGGAGACCGGTGGTGGAGTGAAGCACCCTGAAGCGGTTGCTTGGTGGTGTATTGGCACACCATTTTACAGATACACATATACCCCATTATACGCCAATATATCTAAATCCACCCCCTTACAGTTGCGCACTTGGTTTGGGCAGCATGGCTGCGTTTCCCCATGACAGATACTTGGTTTTGACACATGTTTGTGAATGTTGTTTGATATTTCAAGCCGATGGCAGGATAATCATGGGTTGTTAGTTGTTTTTGCTCAATAGCATTTCACTTTACTCCAGACCCAAACAATTGGTGTTTCATCATGTTGGTGAAAACTTGTCGCCCAAACATTTCAGGCTCAACTAATTCACATGATTAGCCTCAAACATAGAGGCAACGTGACGTAGTGTTGTTTGCGATGAACCAGAATGGACACTCAGATGTTTTTTAAATACCAATATGGGTGAGTCTATGGTGCACCCAGTGACACCAAAAGTGACCCTACCAATCTTGCCTCAACCTTCGCCAGATGGAGCCCTTGAACTTGGAAAAAACCATCCATACGTGGCCACCGTCTGCGTCCGCGAACCGCACGGCACCGAAGCTGCCAGGTCTATCGCTTGCAAGCAGAAGTTCGCCACGACCGACGAGGTTTGGAACTGCGGCCTGGGCAGCTGTTGGTCTTCGAGAAGAACTCAACCAGCCAGGTGTGGCGTTGGTCATTGCCTCGACGACGGCCAGGGGTTGGAGAATGGGATTGCCTCGGCGACGTTGGTCAAGACCAAGGTGATTAAAAGTATGGACCTGCTGGATGTTTGGGGTCACCGGAGATTCAACATGTCACAGAAACAGTGGTCAAGAAAAACCGAAGGGCCCAGCAAATCGGGAAAACCAAAAAAACATACAATTTCCATGTGAAGTTTGTTGAGTTTTTTTCAGTGGCAATGGCGGATTTGCATAGAGCAGACAGCAAGATGTTGGTCCGGGCATCAAACAACCCTAGCACAGTTATAGAATGTTATGGACAAGTATCTTACTGCTGAAGGCCTCAACCTCCACAGGAAGGAATGCCGTACCACATGAACAGGGAAATACCCCGCCACGACAAAATCTAGACATGCCACAAATGTGTGTACCCTTTTCTAAATGAGCAAAAAACGGGGTGCTCTAATCGAGAGAAGCGGTCTTCTCCACCGGCAGCACGCTGAAGGTGAACCACTCAAAACTTTGTCGGTTTGTTTGTTTGTTGTTTTTTGTTTCTACCACAATTATGAAGGTTGAAGACAAACTGTGTAATTGGACCTCTCATGTCTTCTGAGAGAAGATCAACCTGACAGATGCTGGTGCAAAGTTTGTTTCTACAACTCCAAACCATTCATAAACAATTCAACTTTGCACGCACCTCCGGAATTTGAGGTTCTCAAAACATGCTGTCACTCTTGTGAGTTACATCGGCATCGTTGTACTTGGCAAGACCCGCTGGTCCGCACCCCGATATATCCACGGTCGACGACTTGACGACCGGCGAGGTGAAGTGCCGGGTGCCGCTGCCCAGTGGCATGGACCGATGTTTGTCAAGACGGTTGCAGTTTGCGAAGACAGTGAAACAATATGATATATACAATAATTTGTATATTGGACAATGTTAAAGCTATTATGTTTATACAGTGAAACAATATACGCAATATACTAGTGTTTAACATTATCATAATGTAGCAATATGACTCAAACAGTTTATTATTGTTTCTCATTCTGTGTTTGAATACCGAACACCTTCCTTCCGCCGTCCACCTGGGCAGGACCGCATCCACCTCACAAGCGACACTATCTTGGAGATGTCCTTCACAGCCGAAGAGCTCCGCACTGGGCAGGCGCATGAGACGCCCCGAATCAGCGGACCGGAGTCACAGGATGGAAGTGAAGTAGAAGAGTGGCACAAGTAAGTAGTTGTTTAGCAAAGAAATACTTAATATGGGTGTGGTACTACATATTTGAGCTTAGACTAGGGACTTTGGAGACTAGATTCCGCGACCTGTTGGGTTGGTTGTTGATTCTCCTCTGGCGGATTTGTGAAGGTGAAGCAAAAGGACTACATCTTCGAATTTGCCTCCCCAGCAGAGGCCGACATCTTTTGTGAGGAGAGCTATCCGTTTGGTGTCGTTTTCTTTTTTGGATTGGTTGGTAACTCACTGGAAGGGTGTGTTTATACCCACAGGAGATCATGAGAGTTTTGTTTTGGTTTTTGAGATCTTTTGAGTGTGGCTTTTGATGCCAAGTAGAAGGATTTAGTTTCATAGTGGCTGTTGGAGACGTTTTTTCGTCGCTGTTCTGCTGCCCTTTTTGAGTGGATTTTCCCTATGTAGATCGTTTCTCTCAGTTTCACTCAGTTTATTTCTATTTTCACGACCCGGGAGGACACGTTTTTTGTGCGGAAAGTTGATGCTCAAAGACGGAAAGTCTGGAAAGTTGATGAAAGACCCCCAATCTGGTGAAGAGGATGAGCCGGAACGTGCATGAATCCCTTCGCGGCGTTTGAAACGACTGCGACCAGGAGATTTGGAACCAAGGCGTTCGATGAGCTGTACAGGCAGGGAAGTTCATACCATACTGTCCTAGTTTCACACTCAGCACAGCTGATAGTGATAGTGGGCGGCTTTGAAGGATGTTGAAGGTAGAGCACAAATACAGTTTTGTGCGGCCAAACCAGGTTCAACATAAAACACCTTGCCAAACTTGAAACGTGGTAAACTACTCAAACAATCCGTGTATGGAATATTTACTGTACCTTTCATCGACTCTTAAAACCACCCCAAATGTAGGCAAATGTTCCATACATGCAGTGTCTTTGGCTAGGTAAAGTCTAGAAATTGTGGCCAAGGTGCGTGTTGCAACTCAGCTCAGCAGGGGTAACATGAAAGTTGTGGGTGCAAGCTCACCAGCCACTGGCTCACGTTTGGAGCTTTTTGTACAATACGCTTTGAAAACGGGTGGTGCAGGATGTAATCCATCAATCAACGGCTGCACCATTCCAGTTGAACGTCAGGTGAGTGAGTTGTTCACGCCAGGTTGAAAGACGTCGCTTCCTCACATGCAGAGAAGTGAGTGCGGTTCTGATGTGTCATTGTACAGTTCCGTGAAGAGTCGATGTGGGGAAAAGAGATTTCATCAGAGATGGCTGTAGATATCGACTCTTGTGCAATAAAACGTGCAGTTTTTTTTGCGTTCTTCTTTAGGGTCTTCATGAGTATTTATGCCTTGGAAAGCAGGGCAGGCTCCAATCCAACCTATAGTCTATCTCAGATGTTGCAAAATGACAGAAGAGTATGGGTCCAGCAAAATCTGCAGACACATGACACATGGGAATCATGTCAGAATTGGGAAAAACATAATGTTCTTTGGAACTTGTATGAACTTGGATTCTCTACGATGAACTTGGGTTTATTCTTTCACAACATGGCATTTCTATGATTCGATCGTCAACGCCCACATTCCTGCAATCGCTCCCGAAGACAGGAATGGGCGCTTAAATCATGTTGAGTAAGTTGGGTGGTCCCTCACCAGTGGCGCTGCATGTGACTGACATGGGGCGGTTTGTTTCTTTGAACTCACGCGTGTCGCTGCAGAAAGACTGTTGAGAGTTGAACTGTTGCTCTTCCAATTTGCAGGTGTTTCCTGTGGCCTCAGCACTCCCAATCAACCAATGACAACCACAATAAGAATTGCAAAGAACAATCCCCACATCTGTGCTCTTGCGGCTTGCTCTCCTCATCGATTTGTGCTGTGTGAAGCCACAGTGGTGGCATCAGCCACGCCTTCAAAAAACACTGCCCTCCACTGGTGGGTCAAGCAGATCGCGCTTTAAAGGGAGCCATGGGGTCCGCTGTTTGGATCATGGCCCCTTCTTAAGCCTACGGTGTTCAGGCGTGTGTGATCAATCTATATTTGTTGACCCACACCAAGTCACAAATGGGACTTGTACTTATTATAGGTCTATTTTTTGAATGGTTTCAGAATGTTTCAGAGAATCTCAAGCCGAGTGTTGTGGTCCCAACGTGTTTTGTTTGCACTTATTCAAGATGCTGCACGACTAGGCTGCAACTCAACACCGCTTTATAGCATTAGTTGTAGTGAAGGAACATGAATCAGAACATATACTCGTTCAAGCCGTGTGTATTTAAATGTTCATGATTCATGATGAATTACGTGTTTGTGTGTTGTTTGGGACATGCTGGGGGTCTCAAACAGAATTGAACCGGATTCCTACAGACCTGGGACCTGAAGTCTACGGGAAGTGAACGCACGACCTGTCGACCCGCTGATCATTGGCCCCAGCCGTGTTCTTTTTTTTTCGGCTTGGCAGCATAGCGTGTTTTTGATATCAGGTGGATTCGAATCCTTTGGATTGTGGGAGTGTGTTTACCCCAGAGGAAGCTCCATTCTATGGTATAGGGATGCTGTTTATAGGTTCTTCTTATTTTCACCTGTTCTTTCTATATAGATGTTGGTCAACCTTGGTGTCTTCCGATGGCCTTTGGCTCAATGGAATCATGGTGTGTCAGAACTCCAGAAACATCAATAACAAAGCGTACGCGTGTCGAATGACAGCTCAAAGACCCATCGACCTACAGTCACCATCCGCAACCCAAGCCTCGGGTGTACGTTGACACGCGAAGTTCCCAAGTTCCCCCTGCAAACCCTTTTTTGGGGATTGGTGACACCCCACAAAATTTTAGGTATGAACAGATGGAAAGTCCAGTTCACATGTTTTTCCAGGGAAACGGCTCGGGAGTTTGGAAACTGTTGCCTGGAGGAGCTGCGATTCTCAAAGTGAAGTGCGAACCCCTGGAACCCAAGTGCGAAAGACATCTCACGAAAGACCCTGACCATCCCTGACCCACCTCCCAACAAAAGCATGACCGGTCCTAATCGTGAGGTGGAACCACTTAAAAACCCTCATCTCAAGCTTCTGCTCAAATGCGCAGCCATGTCCACGAAATCCTTGGCGCTCACGTGCGCCCAATGTGCATGCCGTATACACTTTGCGTCGCTGGCGGAAGACACGTACCACACACATGTCCACACCACATGGTAGGGCCCAGATTTTTGGGTGGTAGTTTGGAACTTCTGGAGATGACCTCACCCGTTCCCACTCCCGAACCCAACATGAGGAGGTGGCTGTGATTTGGGGGAATTCATCTCCCACCACTGATTCGTCCATTTCAATCTAGATGTGGCTTTTCTGCACCTAAACCAGGAACACACCCAATCAGAACACCACATGTCACAGGGAAGCCCATGGAAACAGACTTTCAAAAAGGCGCCTCATGCAGATGGGATGTCGCACTGGACCAGTCGGAGGACCGACGTCGGCCTCCGACTCGACCCCTCCGCCAGGCTCGTCCGCCCCGGCACCATGGAGCTGCGCCAAGTCTTTCAAGACGAGTCCGGGCGCCCCGGAGCTCCGAGCGCCGGGAGACGGAGGTCGGTGTCAGGTCCGGCCGGCGGGGCCCCAAGGACGGGCGCCTTCTCGGGGTTCGAAGGCGTTCGCGGGTTCGGAGGTTGGAAGGGCAAGGGATGGATGATCAAGGGCAAGGGATGGGACTTATGGGATGGGAGTACGTGGATCAGCTGCAAAGGCTGGCTGTTTGGGGGGCTGCAAGTCGGTTTTTGAATGAAGAAGTGAACAGATGCCAAAAAGGGGAGCCTTTGTTTTCCAGGGAAACTCAGAGAGTGCAATGTTCACATATTTCTGTCCATGGTTTTGGGGGTTGAGGAAAGCTGAGAATGATGGATGATGAATTCAGGGTAGCAGTCTTGAGTATGGATCCGTAGGTTGCCAACGAAAAAACTTCATCATTTTCAAGAGGTGGCATGTAGGTCCAGGTGGTGCCGTACCAGTCTGCAATTTTCTGTTTGGCGTCGTCCAAAACTGTCCATAAATAAACTCTTGCATTGCCTTGGAACTATGGAATTTTTTAGTTCAACCTGGATGCTCTTCGGATGTATTTTGTGCAAACGATGAACAAAAACACTGTGTTACAGTAAATTCTGCTTCAAACACCTCAAACAACATCAAAAGACCAGGTTTTGAGCTAATGTTGCCAAAATCTTAGCAAGCATGCCAAGGTGTCAGGATTCTATGAGGCTACCAGGTCCCCAGAGATTTGGCGATGCTACAAAAACGATTAAATCAAGAAAGACTACAAACATAACAAAAATAAAAAAACTGAACCAAGCAAACAAAATCAACAAACAAACCCTAAAAAGGTTTGACTCAAAATCTAGCATCCAACACAAATGTTGCAGCTTGTATGTGGGGACTTGGGTGATTTTGTGTGATTTGTTGTTGGTGTTGTTTTCATTTGTTGGTTTGCCCTCCCCTCAACAGGGCAGACTTGGGTCCCACGTTTCCGCAGCATGAGGTGCTGAAGTACGCCTTTTTTGTTTGTGTCTCATTCGCAGAGGAAGCGCACAGCGAATGGACGCTTTCCAAAATTGCTCCGCCATATTGGCCATATTCCTTCCAAAGCATAGTGTCCTTTGTAAGGCCGTTTAAGAACTCCTTTGCAACAAAATGTTTCCTGTTGCAACGCTGACCTCCATGACAAAGTTTATTTTTTGTCCAAGCTGCTCATTCTGTCTATGCCTTTTCGTTTGAAACGTTTGTTTGCTTTAATACAAGGCTGTTTTGGATCTCAACCCGATGTGTTACAAAGTCCTCCCGATCGCAACCCAAGTCTATTCCTGTCCCAGGCTTCCCAGGCCCTGCTTTTGAAAGGTTTACGGTTTTCTCCTTAAACACGTCTAATCCTCTATAATCCTCTATGTATTCATTTGTTGTGATAGTGTCTTTCAAACAAAAAGGTCACATCTTCTATGAAGGTGCATCAAATCATAATATGTCCTCCTCGGTGTTTCCTCTTGTCCCCCAATCTTTCTTACAAACTCGTTTGCATATAAAAAGGGGTTATATATGCGTCACACATATCAACACAGCCTGCATATATATGTATTACACATAGTAATTCACTCTTTTGTGGGCACATCATGCTGTTCAATTGTACAACTGTCCTATGAAGATCTCGCTCCTTGAACACAAAGCCCTTCCCAAGCCTCTAGGTGTCTACTGTTGGTGTCTACTGGTATATGTGCAAAAGGTGGTTCACATGTTGTGTAAACACAATCAAACACATTTTATATACAGTCTTCGTGAGGTTGAACAAGCATATCCTGAACAAAAGTATGTTGGCAATCCGAAGATTCTTTTGCCCACACCCAGTGTTTCTTATTTTTTCCGGTACAATGCCTTTTAGAACCATGTGCATACTTTGCAATCCTGTGTTTTATTCTTTACAAGACTTATTTTCCATACATACAAGTCTCTCTCCTTATCAGGTCTTCTTTGTTAAAAAGAAAATAAGTAACATTCATGAAAGGTTCTTCCATTCCCAAGTATTCTTTTGACAAATGTTGAACAAAATGTGTTTCACCCAGCCCTCAGAGAAGTTGTCTGCAATTGTTGATGGTAGTGTTGATGGATGTTGATGGTATCTACGGTGCAGTGCTTTAAGGGGTTTTGGGAAACGGGTGCCTTCTCCCAAGCACACCCTCTCCATATTCAAATGTGTTCTAGAATATGATAGAAAGACCCGCAAGTCCGACTCGACTGGACTGGGCTCATGAACGTTCGTTTCGACCTCCCTCATTGGGTCGTGGGTTGTTCTTTGGAAAGTTTCCATTGAAATTACCGTTTTTCGACGGGTCCCGACACTCGTCTGGACACTCGTCCTGTCAGACCCACACCGAGAAGAGACTCTTCCGTCCAGCACACGGCTGACGGCTTGGCAGTAGGGCGCCTTCACTTGCCACCATAAACATATTTAAACCTTCCAATTCTTCCAATTTAATTTTGAAATGTCTTCCACATGTTAATAAACATCCAATTGGAAGAATGCCACTTTACCTGCTTCCAATTTCATGTTTATATATGTTTCTTGTTTGTGTCTTTCACATCAAGATCCGGTGGCATTTCCATGGCATTCCATGGCTTCCGAGGCGCCTTCGTCCTGGGGAGCTGCTGGTTGCTTGGCCTTCGTTGACTTGGCCGTTTTCTGTCGGCGTTGGACCGGACAGTAGATAAGCCATATTCTTTTGGGGAAGGGGAATTAGTGTCTTTGTTTAAGGAGAACAAGCTTTGATGCGTTTCCCTGCCAAAACATCCGTGACAATTGATGCAACACCATGGCCGTGGCCCAAAGCAAGGGGCAACCCGAAGTCCTGAGCCTTAGAAGAGGTGTATTTAGAGGTTCACGACATGGAAACAGGTGCTCCCCTCATTTTGACACACAGAAGACGCAAGATAGCAAATCCGATTTCCTTGGAAACCAAGGGGGTCCTGGGTGGGGCGGCTTGCAGGGTATGCAAAAACACTTTACCCCTGGATAAACACATCAAGTTTCATAAAGGGGAGAACTGCTCCCAAGATGTGGGGAGTGCAGTCACAGACTGGTCAAATCTTCATGCCCTCCAAAGATACAAGGAACCAGCATGTTCAAAGCCATTCATTACAACCTTTTGCTCCAGATGTTTCCTCCCTTTTCCGTTGCAAACTAGCACGAGGGTGAATTCTTCCCCTTCATCTTTTGGTATCGGGTCAGCGGGCACGACATATAACTCCACATGTAAGCTAAGTGGGAACAATAAACCCTCCACGATTAGCATGATCTATTGAACACTCCAACCTGCAAGGGTGGCCGGCAAGTTTGAAAGAGATGGGCTTGACTTGCTGGGCTGTCCCAATCTCAATTCTTATCGCTGTTTGGGGGACCAATGCAATTGAAGTTGAGAAACAGCAGACTTGAATTGGGCCTGTGTGCAGGGCGTCTTGAACGACACAGAACGAGAACACAATTATAACCTGCTTTTATTACCAAGCCTGCTATTGGAAGCCAGTGTCCCGTCCGCAAGTTTCAGCATGAGTTCAGTTGCAGGAAAAAACGACATGTGCCTTGACGCAGTCCCAGGAAAGCAGGGACCTAGACATGTTCAGCTGCTGACATGCAGACCTTAGATTGAGAGTGGCACATCGTCACAATCGCTAATGCTCCTCGCATGCATGCCTGTGTATCCCGAGACCTTGCCGAACTGTACATAGCGCATTTGTGAAAACGATATTGATATACCAAAACCCCAAAAACACGATAACACCAAGAGATATAAGATGATGCTCATTCAGAATTACGAGGTGTTGCCGCTCGCTCAAAGATGCATTTTACAATTTCAGGAGTTGATCAGTATTCCCAGATCGTTGCTCTTCCACAGAACGCCACGAGGTCCTAGCGCCCCCGGGACCATGCAACGGGACTTGCCTGAGGTTCAAGTGGAATACAGCAGCGTTCAGCCGTTGGACGGAGAGATGTTTGTGCCGACCTTGGAGCAAGGCAGCCAGAGACATTAGACATTCTACTAACATACGGTACGTATTTGGAGTGTAGTTTATCAAAAGCACCAGAGCTGCATTCCTTTTCTTCAGCATCACAACGGGAGTTTGCTGCTCCGTTTCTGCCACGGCAGCCGTTGTTTTGAAGCAACGGAAGGTATCATGTTGTATACATGATATATGATGTTTTTATGAATCTTCTTATTATATAGATTCGATGTTCAGCGAATTTGCAGTGACATGAGTTTTCACCGTAAATGTAGGCAACAACTTCTCAGAATCTACTAAAGGATCAAGGAATCCGCAGTTGAGACGACCACCTATTTTGGTGCCATCGTAGCGAGTTGCACCCTTCTTCTGTTTGTATTTCTTGATGTTCCTCACTCGGCCCAGAACTGCAGCGGCATGTTTGCAGATCTTCAACTGCCCCATGTCATGGGCGTGGAGGGCGCCGGAATCTCAGTTTCAGAGGATTCTTCCGCATTGAAGTTCTGCAGGTCATGAAGTGTTGTAACTTGATTTTCCCAACCAGACCGGGTTGGCGATTTCAAGGGCTGGGTCGTGATGGGTTTAGATTTTTCGAGCATCCTCTAATTTTTCGGCTGGATCCTAAATGTGGAAGAAGCGTTAAGCCGGTGAGGGGCATCCGGCGAGGGACGAAACATGCGCCCGGTCTACCCGCGCCCCGTCCGAGGAGAGGGGAGCTGGTCTACTGGTCTACCTTGGGTTATTTTATTCAGAATTTGGAACATTGGAAGAGCTCGGGCAGCCATTGGATGTCGTCCTAAACATTGCTGGTCCCAACAGAAATAACAAGCTCTTCCAAGTCTTCGAAGAAACTACGTTATTGATTGATACACTGGCTGGTTTAGCCACTGATTGGAGGAGACTCGGGGGTTTCTTTGGTTTGGGCCCATTTTTGTTTGCATAAGTTTACTTGTTCTTTGTCCATGAGGCACCAGTGGGGCAAACCGAAAACCAACCCCGCCATGGCAAGAGGAGGTCCATGAGAGGCAGTCGTCGAGGTCGTCTCGTTGGTGTTGGCGTCCTGGCCCTGGCGGCCCTGGCGGCCCTGGAGGCCCTGGCGGCCCTGGCGGTCTGAGGTTGGTGTTGTCCTGAAGTCTGCCAGTGATCACGTGCCGGAGGGCGCCAGGACTGAGACAGTCCCGCTGACGATGACGGCGACCAAAAAAGGCGAGACGACAGGAAGAAAGACCATCAAACCGGGTTTCAAGGAATCCAACAAACCTTCCGCACAGGGGTTTCAGTGGATTGCCATGTTCGTTTGCAATTAGGAAGGGTATACTACGTAGCGACGTAGCTGTGCTTTGGAATTGAAACGGCGAAGTGATCGGTCTCCGGGGTGATATGTTTGGAGGGAAGACAAGCACCTGAAAGTGTTATTAGACAGGGGAAAGACCTGTGAGGCCAATCAAGTGTGTTCTACGTCTGACCTATCTCTTCCAACCACCTGGTGACAAGTTCGTTGTTTGAAACCAACATCAACCAACCCGTTCCTGGGTGAGGTGATTTGGGTCTTCATCTATACGCGTTTCTTTTAACTTCAGGCGATCACATGTCATTCAATGTTGCGAAGCGACGCTGACCGTACATGTAGGAAAGTAATTCTGCCAGGTTGACATGTTTACAATTTAGACCTGTCCCTGTGAACCACTGCACATTGTATGGAGGCTCATGATAAATCTCCATGAACCACTTGCTGGATTGGTCGAATGCCACCCCTACTACGGAACTCCTAGTGGCACTCTAGTGGTTCGTTTGGCCTCTCAAAAGAGGGTGCTCTTCCATTTTTCATTCTGCAAGGATTGCTTTCTTGCTGCGGAAGTTCTTCAACGATGATCGCTGGGAGTCCCCGACCCGAACCTCGAGACGTCCGATGAATCGACGCGTCCCGGTTTGACGGAGTCCGAAGAGCCCACCATGTGGACCAGAACGGACATGCACCCAACGAGAATCGTATAAGAGCGGCCAAAGGAAAAGAGCTGACAACAGAAGAGGGAACAAGTGTTGACACTCCAACAGCAACAGACGCCTACTACATGTGCAGCATGTCTAACACAGGGACATCTTGAAACTAATCATGGGGTGTAAAAGACACTTTGTGCAGTGTAGTCCTGGAATGACTAGTGGACAACGGTAACCAATTCTCGACATGTTCCTTCGCAGGGGATCTCAGTTGCCACAACATGCTCGAAAATAGGATATTCTTGGTGGTAAGCAGTCCTAGCTCTTCGAAGAGTTATTTCCCATAGCATGTTACAGATATACAGTTCCTGGCTTTGTCGTGGGGTCAGCACAGGACAAACCGAAAAAAGAAAGGCATTCATGCCTTCAGACCCTGCTGTTCCATCGTAGATTGTCTTTGGTTTTGGGAGCCCCAGTGACGGACAAACCTGGAAGCTGCCACTGACCGACCGAAGTGTTCCACCGGCAGTGCCGAAGTGTTCTTCCGAAACACACAGCTTTTTCCCGGTGTTCCGCGATTTGCAGATGGATAACTGCATGATGCTGTAATATATATAGTATAAATACATGTATATGCCAGTATATCTATCAATCCTTCACAACTGGCCTCTCCCTATCCTTCACCAACTGTTTGTTTCGCTTCGCCCGAGAGCCCAGGCCACGGCACCTGGCAAAAGCGCTTAGTGCTGGATGAGAAGAGGGCCATGATCCTTCAGGACGATTCCCGCACACGCGGCACCCGCGCGCGCGGAGTGGATCAGCAGAAACCCTGGCTACCTCGCGCATGGATGAAGTACAGAACAACAAAAAGCTGATTTGATCGTTTTGCAACTTCTTTGATGGTCTCCGCTTGGGTCTCGTGGGTGTTAAAAGACCAAACATGAGACCCCAAGCGCCTGCAGGTGTGATTTTTTCAAACATAAACGGAGATGGCCAGAAGTGAACCTTACAGTGGTTTTGGAGGAAAACCTCGATGAGGAGTCTTTCGGCAAGAGTTCCACAATAAATATTGTATAAGGATACGATGCAGATGTCTTGCATACGGAACAGTTCCTATGCTTTCACGCAGTTCCTACGCATACATGGATAGTCCGGGCCGGTCCGGGCGGGCCGGGCCACTGCGGGTCGGTCCGGGCGGTCCGGGCCGGTCCACTGCGGTCCTTCCATTTGTATAGGTCCTTTGTGGAATCCACCGAACCACACCTCAAATCCACCGCCCCAGCGTGGCGTAAGGAGACCACCTGACGCAGTGGGCAAAGGAAGAACCTATGCATCAAGATGTACCCACAAACACTTTATAGAGGATGGATCGGCTGGTTTTTTAGTCTGTGCGAATAAACCCTTTTCTAATATTGTCGGTCTACGGAGCTGTACTTGGGGTTTAGTTTTGATTAAACCCTTTTTGGTCGAGTAAGGGCCCTCACTCGATCACAAAGGGTTTACATCCTGATCCAAACCCCAAACCCAAGGGTATGAATATCAATCGACCAAAAAGGGTTTAATCAAAACTAAACCCCCATTCCAGCTCCGTAGACCGACAACAGTAGAAAGGGGTTTATTCGCACAGACTAAAAACACTTTGCCGATCCCTCCTCTAACATGTTTGTGGATACATCTTGATGCATAGATTCTTCCTTTGTCCACTGCGTCAGCTGGCCTCCTGACGGCTGCGCCGGGGAAGGGAGTTCGCACGGGCCGGGCCGGGCCGGGCCTCGGGCCGGGCCGGGGTCAACGGTAGACCCGGCTATCCATGGCATAGGATATACAATTGATACTTATATTATAATATATAAGGATATTATTTTGTACTTATTTGTACACACTTTCCTATGCCGTCACACCAGGTTTTCACTTCTAACTTCTCACCATTTATAATTTCCAGCAGAACAACCACACAGACATCCTCTATCACACGCCGACGGGTGTTGGGGTCCAACGTATAGTCTTGGACTAAGTGTGTCCTACTATCATCATCTATTGTAGTATCATCGTTCGACTATCCTATATGAGCATCCGTACTTGAGTCATGGCCAACACTATGTTGATACCCTTATTTGATTGCAAACAGCTCATTGTTTGCGTTCCCAAACACTGGAAACCGATTGGGGACAACACCAAATACTCTCGGTTGTTTTGGCATTGGGGACACAAAGTCTTGTTCGCCACTCGTATCATAGCTTTCAAATTGTTCCACACTACGTGCCTTCCATCCGGTCCATGTGGACCGACCTGGACCAGGTGCTCATGATAGGAGCGATTTGGATATCCCAAGCCTTGATTCATATATGGTTAACATGTCCAAAATTATACGGAACAGGGGAGGGTGTGCTGCATTTTGTGCTCATGGATCATGTTCTATCCTTTTGCGTGGAACATTCACTGCCTCATCAGCTTACCCTGAGCTGGGCAGGTGCCTCCGGTCAGGGTGGCCCAGGGCAATAAGTGAATCGACGGTCGGGCATCCGGACGAGTGAAGACAAGATCAGCTGGCTTGAAGAGTGATGACCCTATGCCCAGCTGACCCAGCGATGTTTTTAGACCGGACGAATCCCGTTCGTTCCTGTGTCTCAAGTGACTGGGATTTTCACTGGGCGGATGGCATCGAATAAGATTCGAATGTTGATGAGCCTATTCTTGAAAGAATTACTGTTGATGAAAAGTGAGACTGTTGGAAGACAAGATCCAGAAGGTATGCTCCAGGTCTGGACAAGGTATGCTCCAATGAGGTAGATCCAGAAGCCAACAAAAATGGGGATCCAGTGAACCCCATGGTGAGAAAGCCTAGCTGCTAGGGGGGAGTGTCATGTTTGGGTTGAGATTGGTTGGAAGGCTAGAAAGCTTCAGAATTCTTCGCCACTTGGAAAGGATCTTGGGATGGGCCGGGCGTTTGTGGAAGATATAACAAAATGATACAAAATGTACAATTTTGTTCCAGTAGGATGGTTGCAGAAGTTAACCCCTGCCATGAAGTTCCCGATTGTGTTCGCCCCTTTTCCCTTTTTCCCCCTTCACACCTGTGTCAACCGGATTCGGCTTCAAAACGCCGCCGTCGTTCAGGTCGTGGGCCTCAATCAGATCGCGGCCTGTACCACCTCGACAGCTGGGGGATCCCGAACAACGCGGTCGGTGGAGGTTGGATGCTTGGGCTTTCTTGGAGGGTTGGAGCACCCGGTTGGTCGGTCAGAAAGCAGAAACCATGATACTGTTGAGTGTCTCATGATACTGTTGCACCTGCATCCTTGCAGGATGCACAAGTGGAGCATGTCAGGACTTTCTGTCAGTCAGTGACTGTCCTTGAGAGATCGGGATGAGCTCACGAAAAGTCCCTGCACAGGACACTTAGGAAGGTATCTGGTGACTTAGTGAGTTCAAGTGAGTTCCCCCTATGATCCCTTCTTCTCTGAAAACACATATTCTTCCCATGAGCGGACAGAAAAGATCAGACAAGGATGAACAAGTGCCTCCTCAGGTGGGAGAGGTTTATCTGGAGCATGGTGTTTTAAAGTCTTTGTTGGTCATATATGTTTTTAAAGCATCCTGATGTAGGCAACAGTTCCAATCCCATGGATAGTGGAGTTGGATGCTTTACCTCGACCTATTCAGCGCCGCAGTACCGGCCTTGCCACTATAGCCTATAGTGAGCAGATCTGCTAGGCACCCCGAATGGGCAAATCAGCCCACATCCTCAGTGCCTGCGATGGGTGAATGGGGGGTTTGTCCTTGCCTTCGATGGGCCAGGAGCTCGGCTGCCGGGCACAGGAGTTCCTGTCAAAAGCGACCCGAACACCACGTGACCCGACCCTCGCAGCTGTTCAAAGCCCGGCCCGTGCTGGCGAGGTCGCGGCGCTGGCGTTTCTGAAGCCCTTCGCGCCCCAGTCTCAAATCATCGTGCGGGGCAGCCCAACGTGTGAGGGGCGCGATCGATGGTCGAGCGGTCCACCGGTCACCAGGCCAGTCAACAGTTCCCGAACGGGCACGGTTGGCCAAGGTTTGCCCATCAAAGGTCCCGATGGGTCCCATCTGAAATATGTGTTCATGATCTTGAACCATCGTCGCCTTGATTTCAGCCTTTGGATGCCTTTGGATTCTTGGATCCCAGTGCTTGGGATCCATCGGTTGGTGTGGTGTCAAGGTCCAGAGATACCAGGGTGGCTGGTCCATCGTTGGGGCTCTGTGGTCACCTGGGAATTCCTGGGAGGTGTTGCAACTCAAGTGAAATCACCATGGTTGGTTTCAGATCTGCATTCTAGGAACACTTAGTGATCAACCCGATATCATTAGTGTCAAGTGTCAAAACCCCAAGAATCACCTACGATCCCAGAGGAGTTTTTTCCTCTCCTCTCGGGACTCCTCCAGATGCTCAGCACCTCGGCGAGGAGCGGGGCCTGTGGTGCCGTGGGCCTGGCTGCCATGCAGCTGGGGGCGCTCATGGGTCACAAGGCCCGAGCGCACTTCGGGGGCACGAGGAGCCAACGAGCCGTGCAGAGGAGCCAAAGTAATGGCTTGGAAAGGATTTGGTGGAGTGTTGAATAAGGCATCATAAGGCGCAACTGTTCAGAAAATATACACACCTTTTAGGGTCTCCTGGTACGTGTGAAGTGTTTGGAATTTTATTGTCTTGTGTCAGAACGCGTGTGGAGTCTGAGGCAACTTCGATGGAATTGATGCTACTAGTAGCACACTCGACTGATGAAGCAACAGGTCTCCACATAGGCCCGTTGAATGTTTGTATTGTTTCAGGCCTTCACAGGCATAGGTCTCCACATAGGTTTTGTATTGTTTCAGGCCCGTTGATGTCGATTTGGGTGCTGGAGGGATCCTGAGTCGTCTCTTTTCTTCGTGACCGCCTGTGGGTCTTGCCGCTGGTCGTGTATTCCAAGTATTTCACTTGGAAAGTGTGGTGGCCTTCTAGAGTCTGTCGGTCTGTGGGGGGGAAAACATGTAGTTACTTTGTGCAACTTACTAGGCATAGTTGGTCGAATCCCCAAGTGACTGGGGTACTTGCCGTAGCTCTCCCGAAGTGACTGGGTATATAACAGATTGAAACCGATCACCACTGGAGCTGCACGAGAGTCACTGCTTTCTTGGCCAGATGGTTGCCTTCGTCCGGGGTCCAGAGCGAGCCTCCTGGTTGGCCAAGGAGACAACTGTCGCGGTTGATGTGGTTAATGATGGTTGATGCGTGTTCTGTATTTTTGTCACTTCGTTTTTCATTTGTCCAAACACATGTTGGATGAGAACCAACATAGAAGACCACATCGTTTTGATTCAATTGGTGGGTCCAATTTCAGTTTGCCAGGATCATGCCAACAAAATCAAGCGTTTGCTTAGTGGCTTAGCGTACTTGACAACCTTTTCAAGTCATGTCGTTGACCCCGCGTCGACCAACGAAACCACCGGTGGCGGCAACATGACGTTGAGGAGCTGGCCGACTGTGGGAAGGTGGCTGTCGGGGTGCCCTAAAGCCAGATCGGTCATGTCTGAAAGCGGAAAGGAAGTGAGGAAGATACTGCCAACAAGAAATACACCCTGGAAGACTCACATGGACCCTGAAAACCACTGGCTGGTAGAGGAAAACAATCTTCCAGGGGGCCATGATCATGGTCTATGTGAGTTTTCGAGAGTGTAGTACTCAGTGGCACTCAAAGACTTTGAACGTAGTGTCTTCATGTGGTACTTAGATGTGAACACGGGTATTAGCATTGTGCCCTTCTTCCCGCCTCTACTGCTTGAGAAGTGAATGTGTCCTGACTGAACTCCTTAAATGCAATGCTTTTAACATACATTTTGCAAGGTTCCGCAAAAGAACATGGTGCTCCCACTGCGCAAAACAGGCTTCTCTCGCTTCTCTTCCATCTCTGGCAGAGCAGCTAAACCGCGAATAGGCTTTAAACTTCATGTTTGCAATCCCCCCAAAAAGGGTTTTGTGCCACACAGATGGCCACCACTTCCTAAAAGCAATCCCCTTTCATATCAACCATTTGTGACCACACTTCCGCCCCTGAACTTCCACTTGCAAATGGTCGTGCGAACTCGCACCCGGAGAAGAAGCGTATTTCTCCGGGGGAGTCTTCTCGGCCCAGGTTGTTGACACGGCTGCTGAAGAATGGGTGAGGCCATTTTTCGATCCCGACTCCGCCGGTCGAAGCGTCGATGGGGCGACTTACTTCCGGCGGGAAGTCGGCAGAACCGGCGGATGAGCTCGTGCATGCGAGTGAAAACTACGTGGAAGTTGCTTGAGAGGGTGAGGGCATGGACAGAAAAGCTAATGGGAGCTACAACTCCGAAAATGCAGAGGACTGGTAAATAATGGTAATTCTTTAAGTCCGACCATCCCGCCTGTGCTTCTGGGATTGAAGTATCAGCCTTCCGTGGCTGAAACATATCAAGGTTATTTTTGGGCAATCCTTCAATGAACACCAAAGACATGAAATGGTGACCTCAGTAATGCCGGTGTATTGGGCCTCTCGGGTGGTGCAAGATCTTTTCTATCAACCACAGGGCCGCAAAACGTCATGACCGAAAGACCATCAGAGTCCTCTTCAACAAAGTCTTTGCAAGGATTCACGTGCATTCAGTAAGTCGACTGTGTGTAGCATCGAGTTCCAATTTCTTGCACAAAAACCAGAGTTATGATTGATTGTTTGATGGCTTGTATCATTCCTTCATTCCTTCCTTCCTTCATGCATTCATTCATTCATTCATCCATTTATTAATTTGTTCATTTGTTCATTCGTTCAGTCATGCATGAGACAGTTGATGATTGATAGATGATAGTAATATAATATTAGGGTTGTTGTTTTTAATGGTTAATGATACATATAAAATGAATAGTTGGATGGATAGACGAGATATACATACAGATATAGAATGATATAGATAGATAGATATACTGTAGATGGAAATAGATAGATATAGACAGAGATAGATAAATAAATACATATAGATCGATAGATGGATAGATAGAAAGATAGATAGGTAGATAGGTAGGTAGAAATATAGATAATTAGAGATATTATAGAGATAGTGATATATATATATGTTATGACGTATATATAGAATATATAGATATAGGTAGACATAGATAAGTACAGACAGATATAGTTAGATACAGATAGAGATATACATATAATATAGATGGATGGATGGATGGACGGAGGGATGGATGGATGGATGCATGGAGGGAGGTAGGGATGGATGGATGGATGGATAGAGAGAGAGAGAGAGATACAGATAGACATTGGTAGACATAGATAGAAGTAGATAGATGTTACATACAGGAGGGTATAGATTGATAGCCATAGATAGGGATAGTATGTATAGAAATATGTAAGTAGACATCAGTGTAGACTTAGATATATACATATAGAGATCTACATTGATATAGAATCTAGAAACAATCACACATATTGTAGTTATATGTACAGATAAGACATACAGAGATAGACAAAGATAGATGTATATAGAGATTCATAGATAGATATAGATAGATAAATAGATAGATAGATAGATAGGATATATAGAAATACATAGATACCTTTTGGGCTGAGCCCAACGACTTAAGGAAAACACGGATCAATTTGCAATGAGAATAAGTCATAGGGTTATAGGTACCTGATTCCCACAGGCTTTGTTACCCGGAAACAGTAATACCGACGAGTGAAGGGAATTTCACAGATTCTACGCTCTGACGAACACATCAGATCGAAGTTTAAATCCTTCGATTTGCCGGAAATGAGTTTGCTGTTCTTTGAGCCAAAGCAGATGGATCTCCTCTAAATGCGGGTTCAAATCCTTCACTTTGGACCCCCAAGAACCAGTGGAGCACATGGTCTCCGGACCCTCCCCAAGTAGCTACTAGTTACTAGTAACAATGTTCGCTACTAGGAACTCCTGGCATCGTAGCCCGAACGGAGCGATCGGACAAAAAACGTTCGGGGCTCCACTGCTGCGTTGCTCAGACTGGCGTCCTTGCTTTGCAGCGGGGAGTCCGTGGCGGTCGGCGACCACCTCGAAGAGGTGCAGAGATCGCGTGCTCCGACGAAGCGACGAAGCGCAGAGGGCGAACCGGTGCGAACCGGGGCTTCCCAATATGTGTGTTTTTGGTTCGACTGGTTTCCAGTGGTCCATATACACATATAAGAACGGGATGTTCCCATGTTGTTGTTTGTTTTGTTCTATGTCGACTATGTCCCAATATGTTTTTTGTGTTCGAAGGTTGCAGGATTTGATACGTGGTGAGTTTGAGGTGCTGCGGCGCAGCATCATTACATTCCAATGGCACATATACGGTTTTGGCACAACTGGGTGAAGCTATGAGTTTGCCACTGAACTTGCTGGAGACACAAAACATCCAACAGGAGTTTTGTGGATTTCGCTAGAACCAGCAAGGATTCACCTGCGTGTTTGCCTTGCAAACAGAGCGCCGCCACATGCTTTGTTGGGGATTGCGCTGCATGGGTAGAGGCCATACAGAGTATATGATTGTTTTTTGGAGTCAATGTCAAATGAGATGGATTAGTTTTTGATCCTTGGAGGTCCATTAACTGTAAATTGCATATATTGAAATTGAGTATAAGATATAGTGAAGCGATCGACGAGATTGGGACATGATCCATAATAAGTCAATTTTATGTACCGCCCCAATCAAACTTGGTCGGATTTAGACAGCATGTTCAATTCAACCACGGTCAACTTTGCTCGGTTGTCAATTTGGAGCTCCTTTTGCTGTCCCATCCTGTTGTTATTGTTCCATCCTGTGTTTTGCGCATTTGATTCCAAAGTCTTACTTCTTAAGTTCGAAGATGAAATCACGGAGCAACCGATCAATTCTAGCTAGACCATCCCAAGGGGTGTCCAATGGAGATCCATACTGTTTCCTGCAGGGTAGTCCAACATCGCTGGGAGGCTCCTTGTTCTATCGCTGCTGCATTGCTTGAGGCCCCAGGGAAGAAGGCCACAAAAATAAGAAAACACATCAATGGGTTACAGACACCAATCGACCTCACCAGTTCGGTGATCACGGCGCGCGCGCGCGCGCGTTCACGCGTGAACACGTGCGCTGCGACGCAGCGTTTACGTGTCAGGCGGAACACGTGTGCGGTGGTGCTGATGGCATGGTGGACGGCCTTGGCGGTGAAGTGCTTGGAACCCTGGCGGCTTCGGGTGTGGGGACAGGCGGGTACATGGTACCGAACACCAGATACTCGAGAGATATTTAGAAGACTTAGCCACCCTGGGGCACCCTGGCTTTGGGGTGTGATTTTAAAAAAATGCCCCACGGAAAGAAGAGCGTCAGTTAAAGGGGTGATGAATCACCCCGGTATAGGACCTACTAGCTTGTTTGTTTATTCACCTAAGGTGGATATAACTTCAATCCTGGGAGTTAAGGTTTGTCCACCGATCGTTCTGTACACCATCCATTTGTAGTGATGCCTGGATTTGGCGGTCTTGATCCATTTGAGATGGCCTTGATCCATTGTGGCAGTGATGCCTGGGCTGAGCCTCACCAGCTGGCACCACACCAGAACATGGATGTGACTTTGTAGATGTGACCTACGCCGTTGGTCCTTACAGAATAGCATTGGATCAGGATGTGCAACCAGCTGCGGGTGTATCCATTGAATCAGGAAGTCGTTGTTCTTAAGGGATGTGTTTCTTGTTGCTCACATGGGGAATGTGTTCAGATGCGCTTCTTGTTGCTTATGTTGCTGTTGTTGCGTTTTGCTGCTTTCAGTAAGTTTGTGTTGCGCCATGTAAATTGAAAGTTTGTGTTGCATTTTTTGCTTTGTCCTTTTGTCGATCCTGCTTCTGTTTCTGTTGTAGCAGGTAGGGTTTGTCAGCTGGATAGTCTGTCCATACATGTGCCCTGCCTTCTTCCACATCTGGTTGCTTTTAGTACTGTATTTTTGGGGGGGTTCTCTCTTTTTGGGGGAGGCCCTCCCCCAACCCCCCTGCAGCGCCACGACATCTCAACTACTGTATTTCTTCCACAATGCAGCGCCTGCCACATGTTTTTTCATTTCTGCATTGGACCAACAACATGTATGAGATCTGCACTACGTCTTCTCAAGCTGACTCATCATTCCTCCGTCCCTATTGGTTCCTTTTGCTTAAGGCTGCCGGTCATTATTATTTTTTTGGGGGGTGCTTTTGGTATCTTGTTCTGTTTGGTGCGCTCTGGTGGGGAGGCGCTGCGCCCTCCCCTCCAACCCCCTCCAGCGCCGCAAAATGTGCACTATTTAGCCTGCCATGAAAGCTGATTGCTTTTACTGTTTAAATGTCAACCACGTTGAACGGCACCACCACCCAACACGACGACTGCACTACTTTACTTCTTCCACTGTACTTTGCTGCTTGCTACGACAGCTGTTTCTCTTAAGTGCCAGCCGTGCTGCCGAAGTCACCCTTCTTAAAGCTCAGCCACGCCGCATTGCGCCCGCAACATTGCATGTTCATTTTCTCTTCAAGCTGCAAATAGCAGCGAACTGTGAGGCTGAAATATTGAACACACGATCCCAAATTAAAACTGTCCCCCTTGAATCATTTTACATTCCGAGTCACCACTCACTACCATGTAAGCGGAAAATCACCTGTTTGTAGAGTAAAAGGGTCATCCAAGGGACCATGTTCCACTTTCTATTTGAGGGGAGTGTAATACATTGAAACAAGCTCGTTCAGGTGGAACTAGTGACGTCTAGAAGGTCTTTGATCCAAGGCTTTCTGCAACTATCGCCTAAGACTACACTTTTGCAAGACTGTTTGTTTGCAATCCAGTGGCTTGGGTGGTTTTTGTGTGAGCCTGTCGGGCAGCCATGCGGCAACCAGCAGCAACCTCGTTGACCACCAATCGCAAGTGCAGCGACCAATGGCAGGAACAACACCTACACTGGCGACAACTATCAATGGAATTCCTCCACAAGCCCCTAGCCTACCTTTGGTTCTGAGGCCCAACCGCATCCCAAGAGTAAATTACCACTATCCGGGATGATATGTTGAGTCGGGTGGTCAATACAGGTTCTCCCTGGTGACACCGCCAGGGAGAATTCTTGAGTCTACTCTGACCTCTATGTCATCATCCAAGGCCTCAGTGAGACACACCCAAGCCATCATATTGCCCAGGCTCACGCTGAGCGCCCAGTACTTGCTCCGGGTACGTGCCACACTTGTGAGGTGCCTGCTCAGCGCTCCGAGCGCCTGTTGTGGCCAAAGCATTGGTGGTGGTGGTAGTGATGGCGGTGGTCAGGTGGTCAGGTGGCGTATTACTTGATGTTCAATGACTCTCATGCCTGGTTTGCTTGATGTCGATTGTTGATGTTGAGGATTGTTTGTCGGGGAGTTCCATGTGAATTCCCTTCATGCGGGAAGATCATGCTTTCTTTTGCGCTTCCCCGACGACAAGTGCCAAGCAAGGGCTGTTGTCGTTGGTTGGAAATACCAGTCCTCCGACCTCGTCCTCGGACCTCGTCCTCCCCGAAGCTTGGTGCACAAAAACCTCGACCTGGTGCAGGTTCGGTGGGGAGGAGCTCCCAAGCCTGGAGGAACCAGTGCAGAGGCTTCGGCTGAAGGCGAGTCCCGTGTGGGATTCGGCGTGGATCCGGTGATGAGGAGTCACAGACACAGACATCCCTTTGGAAAGTGGCCTAAGACCTGTAAGATTTACCAGTGTATCTACAGCATCTATCGGGTATATACATACATGACAATAAACAATAGATAGTATATTACATAACATCTGTTTAATCGACCATATCTCCTTCCTTTCCGCTAAGCTGATCTGAATTGATCTCCATGGTCCGCCCAAATGTCGCCATCCAGAACCATCGCCGCCGTGTCGGAGGAACCCCACTCGCTCCGCCCGGTTCGTGTCGGAGGTCTTGAGGGAGTCGGTGGAATCCTTTATGACCACCAGCGATGCCAAGGAGCGTGTGGAGGACCGGTGCTGTGGGAGGTGCAGGGCAGGTCCCTAGGGCCCCTCAAACACAGCACAAGCCACACAGGGCCATTGCCGGTGGTCGACAGAAGTATATTTATGTTTTTTCAAGACTGTGGGGACCAGGTCTTGGGGACACAGCATGACAAGCTGTGCTTCTTCATGTGCTTCCACCTCATGTGTTTCTTTGTGGTTTCTTCCTGCCAACAAGTTGTTCTCCAATGTTTTCATATGTTTTCAAGATGTTTCAATCATTTTTCATCTAAGCCACATTCAGGCACCCATAGCTTCTTTGTGGCGACCGTTTTTGATGTCTCTTAGACTCGCTCCGAGGCAGCCTTCGCGTGGATTGGTGATGCCAGGTGGGGGGAACGGGATGCCACTAAGCGGTGACCATGTCGGAACCAAGACAGAACCATTGAAAGAAGGATCTGTGTCTTCAAGTTCCATTTACTCTATGTAGACTGCTGGTGGAAAGAAGAAAAACACATTCATCCGAACATTCTCGCTGCTTCATCTTGATTTGTTCATGTGTTCATCCCACTGTAGCTGATTTGAAGTTCAGGGGATTCAGTCTGGGGATGGGCACCGATCGTCAGAGCCCTCGTTCACTGAACCCTGTCCATCATTTGTTTAAAGATGCAGGTCATCTTTCGGAGGCAAAGCTTGATGTAACCACTGTCCATCACTTTCCTCACTCCACTTTTATGAACATGCCCGGAGAGTTTGTCCCAAGCCTCAAGTATGGAAGTTCTTGCGGCATCTGGTGCAATTGTCGCCAAGCTTCATGAGGATGAGCTTCTTTTCATGGTGGAACGTGGAAGTTCAGTTAGGGACTTGAAGCGATTCCTTGCGGATCGTGTTGGATATTCAAGGTTTCGGCAAAGACTCTTCAGCGAAAAATTTGGCGAGCTGCAGGATGACATGTGCCTAAGTCCGCAGCCAAGTGTGCAATTGGTAATCCTGAACTTTTGCGCACCTGATGAGATGGCAGAGGAACTACTTCAGAACTGTGTAGAGAATCGCGCGGGCGAAGTTGAGAAGCTGCTTCAGAGACCACAGGATCCAAATCTTGGTGGCACAGATGCAAATTTTAACTATGCACCAATCCATGTTGCTGCTCTTGCAGGCCACTTGGAAGTTGTGAAGTTGTTGCTGGAAGCTGGAGCAAATAAAGATGCTGCAGCTGGAGATGAGGCAACACCTATGTCTTGTGCTGCTGAGAATGGCCACTTGGAAGTGGTGCAGTTATTGCTCGAAGCTGATTCTGACAAAGGTGCAGCAACTGAAGATGGGTCGAGGGCTTTGCTCAAAGCAGCTCAGAACGGCCACTTGGAGGTTGTACGCTTGTTGCTCGATACTGGGGCAGACAAGAAAGCAGCAAGAACAGATGGAGACACGGCTTTGCATGCTGCAGCTTGCAATGGGCACTTGGAAATTGTACGCCTGTTGACAGAAGCTGGAGCTGACAAAGATGCGGCCAAAAAGAGTGGAGCAACTGCTTTGTATTTTGCAGCTTTCAATGGCCACT